CCATTAAGAATAAAAAGTTGAAGCCTGTTACTGACCCACAGCAAGCAGGTCCATAGCAGCCATGGTGATTTCTCCATTTCCCTGCTGGGAAGGAAATGAGAGGACCACAGTTCAGCTGAAAGCCCTGTGGGACCGGAGGAGGGTGGTGAGGGGGGACACGGAGGCTGGAGAGAAGGAAGGAGCCCTCCAAGCCCCTTCGGGCCATGGGCACTCGCAAAGCCTGGGTGCCCCATGCCGAGTTACCAAAGGGTCTAGGTAGGTGCTGGCCTCAGGGAAGCAAACATATATACAGGGAAACCCCAGGTAATTTTCAAGGCTTTGCTATATACATATATTAAAGACCTTGAAGTAATCTGCTGGCAGAAAGCAAGAAGCTTATTTCTTTTGATGTGTTTGTTTTAAGATGCCGATCAAACGCTCTTTCCGCAGCAAAAGCCCAGTGAGAGATTTGCCTTTGTGCATACAGTTGGGATCGGGTCCAAGAGGTGACAGCCGACAGATAAGGACTTAATTAATGTCCGGTAGAAGCGGGAGGGACAAATGTTATCCGCAGTTTCACCTGACTCACGCAATGGGACGATAATCCATTGCGAACTCCGTGGAGGTCTGAAAGCAGCGTGGTTCCCCGCCTTGGGACGACTGACTTGGCTGGACCAGGCATCGCGATGGGCCTTTGGGAGAACCGTTGACATTGCATGTAGGGAGAAAACTGGATCTTTAAGTCTGACATTTTCTCCCAGGGCTGGAGGTAAAAGGTGTGATATGAACTGCTGAGCGCTGGAACACTGTCCTCTTCTGCCTGCAGCTTGGTGTCTTGTGAAATGAAGGATACACAAAATGTCTGGTTTATGAATCGTGACTTTCAATGAGAAGTGCCATCAATATATTAAATAGAGATGGACATAAAGTCCATAAAGTGTTAAAGAAGTTAAACAGTAGGAAAATGAGCTCTATTATTTATTCCCTTGTAGACCAAAATCCCTCCCACAGGGTTCAAAATACTTTTCAACAAATAGATTTCCTTCAAAACACAACTATAGAAGTTAAAAGTTCTCTCTTTGAACTTTGTCAAGGAAAGATGCACAAAACAAACTCATATATAATAATCAAAGGCATGAAGACACAATTCTGTCAAAGATCAAAAAAATGCCTTGAATCCCTTTTTTGGTGCTGAACAGGAAGAATTCCCTGATGTTTTTCCTGTGGGAAAAGGGATGGTGCAGAGCACTGCGGGGACTGCGGCTGGTCCTGCCTGCTCTGCGGGTGCCTCCTTTGGGGAAGGTACAGAAACGGTCCCACCATCCTGCTGCTTATCTCCCCCTCCCTGGCACTGCTCTGCTTGTGTTCAAGTGTTGGAAAGTAGCTAGAAGTTAAGAAATGTTACAGTAAATGGTAGAAAAATGTCCGGAAGGGAGATTAAAGCCTGACCGGGCAGTCCAAGTCTCGAGGCCTGTTGCCTTGAAACAGCCCAAAGGCTTCCGTAGAGGCCACCTTTGAAACCAGGAGAAAAGCAATCGGGAAATTAATAGGTCAAATGCGGTGCTTCAGAAGTTTGTTTTTGGCAAATCATGTGCCTGTGGTGTTGGATGGATTGCGAAGCCATACGCTGCTCTGGGGACCAGGCAGAGGGGATGGGGGCAGCCCCCGCCACGGTCCCCCTGGGGCAGGACCACAGGTTGGGAGAGGGTCTGCTCCAGGAGCCTGACCTTCCTTCTTGCACAGGATGGAGACCCCAAAATATCGGCTGGGGCACTTGGGTTGGACTCTGGACAAGCACAGTGTGTGTGGGTCAGGCTGAGACCATTATAAACTCTCTTTTCCTCTCTTGAGCCTCTTTATGCTGCTGTCCCTCTTGGGTTTTTTGGTTGTTTGTTTTTTGTTTTTTTTTTTAATATTTAATAGATTATGGGATCACGTAATAGTTATGTATCTATAGGTCCATAATAGATACGTGATCAATAGCTCATGAGAGCCTAGAAATTTATCGCAGGGATATCAAAATATGCATGGCAACATTTCCTAATTAAACAAAAGAAAACCCAACCTCTGGGTAAAGCATCAGATCGAACAATGTTATCAGACCTCGCCGGGCAAACATAAGGAGCGTATAAAACGCGCTGCTCCCAGGGAGAGCGGCACCCCTCCTCCACCCGCCTTCCAAGAGCAATGGATCTCAAAGTGATCTCTGTGCTCTCCGTCATCCTCCTCGTAGCCCTCAGCACCTTGGTGGAGGGAAAGACATTACCAAGTAAGTACGTTCATCTGCTGTTGCCTTCACAGGTACGTACTTGGGTCTGACCCTACCGACTGTAACTGCAGCAAGAGCATGTCTCCAGTTTACGTTATCAGACAGCGAATGCCTTGCTCTGTTACTATTACGAAAGTTGGAGTCTACTTTTTCATTTTTTTCAGAGAAATCTATGGCAAAATAAAAAAGACTGCAGGTGAACTCTTGTGTTGGTGGAATAACCAGGAACCTGCCGCAAAGGCAGAGGGACAGACGTGCCCAGGAACTCGGTAGAGCAGGACCAGGACTGGAACAGGAGATAGCTTTGTCTAAATAGTCCTCTGACATTTATTTTATGCTACTTTGGCGCATGAATACAATGTCAAATGAGTCTATCTGCCTCCCTGAAAAAAGACAAGTCATTTAGACAAGAAGTGGAAAGCAAGTAACTCGATGGTAAACACCTAGGGACATCTCCAGAATTTCTTGGTTGTGGATGACTGTGCAGTAGACTTAACACGTTAAAAGCATAGCCACAACTATTTGCACATAATCCTACGCTTTTATAGTCACCTGACAAGAATGGAATGATTTTATATCTTTGCACCTATTCAAATATTCACTGGACTCTTAACTCTTTCGTTCTTCACATGAGATGGGCAAAGCAACAAGCATTTACTAGCATGACATTTGAAGTTACGGGGTGTTACCATTTGACGTGGTCTACGTGACGTCCACCGACCCCTCTGTGCTGGGCTGGCTCGGCTGCAGGTGGGACCACAGATGCTCAAAGGGTGGAGCACAACCCTTACTGAAATCGGTGCCAGTTCAAAAGCGGCTTTTAAACCGCACAAGTTCTGGTCTTAGCAAGCGACAGAAAGAAAAGGTACGCTTGCAAAGATGGACAGAGTCTAGGGAAAGGTCGTTGTTCCCGGTGGACATTCGATAAACGCAGCTCCGCTAAGGAGTGTGCGAGCTGACCCCCAGTAACTTGCTATTTCTGTCCCGAACAGCACCCTGCCAGTGCGAAGTGGACCCCAGGGTGCGGAAGAACTGCGGCTACCCGGGCATCTCACCCCTGGCGTGCAGGAAAGCTGGGTGCTGCTTCAACGCTTCCGTCCCCGGCATTCCCTGGTGCTTTGCTCCTAAAGCAAGGAAAGGTAATATCTCTGCCAGAAACACCGATTTACCTAGTGTTTGGTTACGCAGAAGTGTGTACGACTGGGGAGCAGCTCTGCTTTTCTTCTTAGGCCAACGAAATGGGCACAAACCTCGATGAGAAGACCACTGGTAGCAAAATGCAAAGGCAAACCTTGCTAACCCATCAGTCTTTTGTCTCATCCTCTTCACACAATTTATTTCCTCTTCATTCAGCCTAGATATCAAATATCCCGTGCTGCTTATTTAAAAACGTTTCACTGCCGTTTGTGGTTTTGTTCATTAGTAAGCAAGGGATCCTCAGCACTTGTTGAAATGGGTTTTCGATGTGGCTGAGGAGGACTTTAGCACTGCATGTCAAAGTCCTGAGGAGATACGTCCTTCTCTAGTTGTTTGACACCGCTACAAAAGACCACAGGCATCCTGTAACTTCTAGGTTTTTTTCTCTTTTCTCCAGCCTGTTTTGATAATTGCTCCTTCCTTCTTCTCCGGCCTGTTTCCCAGCATAATTCCACTTGGTGGTTCCTCTTTTCTCTCCCATTTTTGCTCCCAGTCTTCCTTCAATGAGATCTCCAAAACATCTCAGGGGAAATCCTTTTCTCCATTAGATTCTTCCTTCCATAGCTTCTAAAGTCCTGCTTCCATCTTTTGCCTTTGTGTTCCCAGCGAGGGTGAGAGCTGCTCTCCTGGCCCTTCAAGGACTGGGTGTATTTTTTACGTAACGGTTCAACATGAGGCACATTTGCTGGGCTGGCTGCACAACTCTTTCTTAGGAGAACTTCAGGGCAACCTCAGCAGTTGCACAGGTGAAACGAAAGGAAGCCAGGGGGCAAAGGCAATGTTACCCAATAAAAGAACTTGATATGAATCACGATTGGTCAACAGGGCCCAGAATTGTCAGTTAAAAAATAATTTTGCTTTTGAGCACTGTTCGGATTTCATGAAAACCTTGACAAACGAATGGCAGCATCTTACAGTGTCATTTTCATAGAAGTGCTTTTCTGAGCAGAACCCTTTCAGGAGAGGAAAACTGAATTATTCAGGCAGGGTGGTATAACCTCTTTACCTGTGATTTTACTTTAAGTTGCCTGGATGAGCTGTGATTTCCTCCTAAATGACCTACCTCCTTTCCATAACTCAAGTTGGGGTGCAGAGGTTTTGTCTCCCGACATTATCCAGGCTGCTCTGGGGTTAGCGTTGGGTCAGGTCACGAACGTACCCTGGTCGGAGGCCAGTGTCCATGGTACCATCACCCCATTGTTGGATCCAGGAAGGGTAAAGCGGGGTCACTGCCTACCACCCACTTCCAGGGGTGAATTTTGCTCCCTCTGGCCCCTGCGGCACAGCAGCAATTCCTCACCCCTTGGTATTTAGTTTTGTCTACAAGGCACGGTAAGGATTTGGGTGAACTTGCTGCCTGAGATGGGCATGGAGAAGGTCATCACGGCTGTCACGTCTGCACGCTGACCTCACCTCCGTGGCCTGCCTTTTATTTGTGAATTATGCCACCAGGCAAACAGAGCATAAAGTAACACCGTCTTCTTCCTTCCTTCATTTTTGCTTTGTGCAGTTAGGAAAGTATGTCCCAACGAGCCTAAAGCCAGGATAAACTGCGGTTTCCCCGGCATCACGGCCAAGGAGTGCAGAAGGAAGGGCTGCTGCTTCAAGGCACATCCCGCTGGTGTCCCCTGGTGCTTCTACCACCGCGTGCTGGAGGAAGGTAACGTCCCGCACCAGACATCGTCCCTCATATCCCCGTGGACACACCGCAGCTCCTGGCATGGTCCACGCCATGCCCGGGCTTGCTGTGCCGTGCCAGCCCGGCGAGAGGCTGTGCCGGAGGGAGTGAGCAGGACGGGGTCTTCCCTCCTTCCCGGTGTGGGTGCAGAGCTGCTTCACCCAGGGCGTGAGCGGGGAAGCGGTTTTGCTAAATGTCCTGGTTTGGCTAAAACACTTAGAAGAAACTTAACTGAAAGGAAAA